GGTGGAGGATTTAAAAGAAAAGGTTGAGAAGGGAGGTGGAGAGGAGAAGGAGTGGCTGAGGAGGGAGGGGAGGAATCCCAGAAATGTGTTTGGCCCTGAGGCTCCTGTCACCACTGCCGCAAAAGCCACTGCGGCTTATTCGAGTTCTTCTGGCCCAAAGGCGCTGGGGCGGGGCCACCAAACCTGCTGCAGGTGGAAAGAAGCAGGAAGAGGGGAAATTATAGGCAGAAAATGTGATGATAAAGAGTATATAGACTGTTTGAATAAAAAAGGGGAAAAATAAGACGGTGAAATAATAGATGACGGGAAAAGACAACTACTGCACACCCTTTTTTTCTGCAGTTTTCTTTGGTATTCTTAACTCTATCTAATAATAAAAAAACCTCCTCCTATCTCCACAGGTGTTCATTGGCATCAACTCCCTAAGCACAGACTTCTCCGCTCAGAAAGGTGTGAAAGGCCAGCCTCTACACATCCAGATCGACACGTACGACTTCAGCTCGGGAACCAACCAGCTCCTACACAGAGCCGCCTGCCAGGTCAAGATTTTCTGTGATAAGGTATGTCGCTTTGGGCATTTCACTTCAAACACCTTCTTTAACACACACAAAAAACAACATATTGTGTGGAGTCATATTTGTAACCATGTGATTGTGTGTCCTCAGGGTGCGGAGAGAAAGATGCGTGATGAGGAGAGGAAGAGAAGCAAAAGGAGGGGACAGAAAGATTCTAACAGTGAGTGTTGCAATAAGACAGTGCATCTTAAAGATAATTCCCTACAGTAAACAAGCATTTCAAGAGAGTGTATTCTAACTTCTTCCATTTGTTTCCAGACAAGTCTTTAGTGAGCAGCTCCATGGGCAGCGAATGCACCTTCTTCCAAACCCTGGAAGACCACATCACCCAGCCAGTCCTCTTCATTCCAGAAACACACCTCTCCAGCATACAGCGCATGGTAGGTCCTCCTCTCACTAATGTATATCCCCTCCCTCTGTGTTGAGTGAATCATGTTCCCGACCCCTGTATCCCTGCAGGCACGGGAGAGGCAGGGGAAAAAAACGTGGGAAAGTATGTAGTGGGAAAAGTGGGCTGGGAGGGGAAAAAGACAGACTTTACATCAGATGAGCTAATTGGAGTCGAAACCAGGCACAACTGCAAGTCGCTACAGCTGCTGACACTGGGATTAAGCTATGGGGGCTTACACACACAAACACACACACCTGGTGCATCAGACACCTAACATACAGTGTGAGCCACCCTTATAGTCCCTGTTTTTTTTCTCACATGTGCACACACACTTACAATAACAGTAAGGAGCTGTTCAGACAGGTCAGTTTTCCCACACTATGGGGTCTATACTGATGTGTGTGTACAGTAGAGGGAAAGCAATATATGTCATTTAAACACAACTCGCCTGATTAACAGTGAGGGAAACTGAATGAAAAAATGAATTACAAAATAACGATGTGATGCAATGCTCCACAGTCTGTGGCTAAGACAGAACACTATTAAGCGTAGGACGGTCCTATCTGTGTCTCTCCATCAGTGTCCACGCTTATGTAGTTCTGTTAAGGGTTATGGGAAATTCAGTCTTGGAGAGATAACATTCCTCCATCTAGATATTGCGCACTGACAATGGTGGGAAAGGTGACTGGTCTCTAATCAGATCTCTTGTCTCCTGTCTGCTTCTCTTTGTCTCTCCAGGCTCCACCAATGGATGAGAATGAAAGGTAAGCAAAGTGAACAACAATGCAAAATGAACAGCTATCACAACCAGTTATTTACAAATGCACACATTGTGGCTTTTAGTCTAATGTGAACGTCTTTTGTTTGTTTTTAGGAGTTCTATGAAGAGATCGTATTCAGACAGAGACCAGAACAGCTCTCCACCCACCAAGCAAGCCCGCAAAGAAGACTCGCAAAGAGGTACATAGCAAACTAAAACGCTTAGAAAACGAAAAAGGTGCCATCAATTATGACCAAATTAGGTTTCCTTGTCTTTCAAGCTAAACGGTTTGTTCCTTTTCCTGATTTCCAATAGTTCTTCTGTACGTGAGGACATGCGCTGAAGAGGTGTTCGATGCGCTCATGCTCAAAGCACCAACACTGCTGGGCCTCCGAGAAGCTGTAAGTAACAAACACTGACTTAAAACAAATTCCTGAATTATTATTATTATTATCTGAGCACATTTCTGAGCTGGAGATAAACAGCACCTTTACCTCGTCTCTGTTGTTGTCTTCCAACTAACGCATTACTTCCCCGCATAGGATTAACTTTACTGTCAAGATTTACTGTTGTTACCTGTCAAGTACGTCATCTTTCTTTCAGTGGGAGCTCATGCTAACTGTTGTCTCCTTCCTCAGGTTTCAGAAAAGTACGGTATGCAAATAGACACCATTGGGAAAATCTACAAAAAATGCAAGAGAGGGTGAGTGTCTTTTTGACAGACAATGAGCATACATTCAGGGATTAGTTTGTGTTTGTAATCTGGTCCTGCTCTATGGAAGCGCATGTGGACAGACTGGGTAGGTAGGTTAGTTGGCTCGGCCTCCTGGAATGTGTTAATTGCAGCTCCTCGGAAAGAAGACGAATGACTAAGGGAGGATGAAAAGATTTGAAAAGCCCTGCAGATGAGTCATGAGGCAATTGTTGTACTTTGTATTTATGTTTTCATAACATCATCTAATCGGAACATCAGGAAGTATTTTGGTGTTGAAAGAGATAATGCTGAAGGCTTCCAGTTACCAATAGAAGGTTGTCCATCAAGTTGTGATCTTATTTTAAACTCATCAGCCATCAGCCAGACATTTAAAAAAAAAAAAAAAGGGTGGCACTGCAGAAGTACAGAAAAGGTTACCACAAAAAGAACTACTAAAAAGGATCATCAAAAGCAGCACGTGTTATTTACAACATTTTCAAATAATACATTGGCTTTATCTCACGCCGTCAGTGCACTCAAACGGATAAGTCTGGCTCACCTCCTGTAAAATAACAAAGGAGATCAGGGGTGATTTCTTGAGATGTAAATAGGACCTCCTGAGAGAGACTGAAACACCTTTTAGGTTATTTTCCTGCGGCTTCATGCTTGCTGCTGGCAGCTATCACTGCAGGGGGAGCAGCTAGGCTAACAGGTTGGGTTACATTCTCCCCGCAGCTCCCTCCCTCCCCTTTTGCTCTTGTCTTCAATCAGTCCTGTCTGTCCCTGCAAGCAAAATGCACAAGCCTCTGGTTAGTTCAGTCATTAAAGACTTAAAGGTTATGATGGTGCTGGGAAGGAGGAAGAGAGTGACCTGATTTACTACTGATGCAGGAGATACTACCACTTTGTTTTTGTACGAGACGTTTCCTCCCAACAAATCATATTGTCTTTCACCAACAACTAGAACCCTTGTGACCTGTTTATGTCACACTTGAGTAAAAAAGTAAGGCAGGTCACATTTTTGACATGCTAGTTTTAAAGAAGACAAATTATCTTGTTGTTTTGGCACACTGTTCTCCAACTGAGATAGCGATCACTGAACTGACCTTTTTCTTTTTGCTTGTCGTTTTCTTTTAGAATTTTTGTCCACATGGATGACAACATCATCCAACACTACACCAACCAGTCGGCCTTCCTCATTGAGATGTCAGATGTCGGCGGTCAGTTCCAGATCACCCTCGTTGAAGTATGAGAGCCAGCTGGCTCCATTGAAGGATGTTAAATATCACAGCTGCCAGTTGAAACCATCTCTAATAGCACTGCTCAGTAAAAGACAATTTAAGCTGAGGACTTCTGAAACCAACTGGGCTAAAAAGACTCCAGTTTCTCCAATTTTTGTTGAAAACGTCAATACGTTTCTCGATGTTGTAAATACCACTACTCGCCCCATTATGTTGTTGTTTGTAACGTAAGAGAAATTATTATAAACAGCTTGTACATATATTGTATATAGATTTTAATATGACAGTGTTTTATGAACTAGCCAAAGCATGTCGCAATCCATTTTCTACAAGTTGCTATGTATTTCAATTTTTTTTACAGACCTCTGTACATGATTTGTGTACAGTGTATTTTCAGAGGTTGCTATTCTTGCTGCTTTTATTGTATCCATCATTTCTTCCACAAGAGCCAATGGTGCGTTTCCTCACCCACAACCTACTAATGAGGTTTTTTCACTGCCATAAGTATCTTCGTGTAGGTTCCTGTTAGTTTCATGACTAAAATGGCCCGACATTGGGTTTAATTCAGAACCTCTAGTCAGACATTTCCACCCATAAAACCACACAAAAGTTAGCATCGGCCATCAATTAGTCCTAGGTTGTGGACATTTCCTGCCTGTATGGTGCAACCGCAGAGGTTTCCTAAACGGTTTTAAATCCCCCAAAACCCCTGATACTATACTCGTAGTATGTGTGTTTCTGTGTGCGTGTTAAAAGTTTTTCCCTTATACGTTATGCATCATTTCAAATCGTGCATGTATCCCTGTAATATTTCATTGTTGTACAATTGCAGTGCTGGTTGTATTAGTCACATCTTGCCTCTTTTTTAAAGAAAATAAAGAAAATGCATAATACATTTTGGGTCTGACTAATTTCTATTATGCACACATATCTGATGGAAAGCTAGCAATTCACAGCCAAAATCAATATTCACTATGACAAACTAAGGATAAGGGGCACTTCTCGTTTGTGTGTGTGTGTGTCCACAATTAAAATAATCTTCTCTTTTTATGTGAAGTACTCATTTGAAATATGCAACAAGCACTCTGCAGAGTAAAGAAAAGCATCTGAAGGAGGTGTATGTATGGGTCAGTTTGCTGAGATGAGATGAACACACAAACAAATGACATCCTTTGTTTTGTCACAGCTTTGTGTGCCGCAAAAAAGGGAAACACACTCGTATGTTGAAGTGTTGGCATATGCAGAAAAGCTCTCCCTATTTGGTAACACTGGCAGGGAAAAGCATCGAGGCACTCTGTCCAAGATACAACAGACATCCTCCAGCAAGTAGAATAGACACACACACACACACACACACACACAGAACCTGAGACAGAGAGGCAGACGACCCGGGAGGCAGCAATGCAAGCGGACAAAAGCAGGGACAGACAAACAAAGGCAGAGACGTGTGGGGAGACTGCTGAAGCGAGGACAAATGAGGAGGAAGAGAGAGTGAGAATAATGAAGAGGTGGTTGCACCATCTGCTGCCTGAGAGAGAAACATGTTAGCCATTCAGAGGAGAGCAGGGAGGCAGCTAGCGATCTGCAGTGAGATACCCCAACATCCCCTCCTGAATGGTAAGTGGCTGCCAGTGCATGGACTGCGTCTGTATGTGTGTTTGCATTCAAATGTGCCTGCATGAGAGAAAGTGTTGCTATTAATAACCCTCCAGCATATTCATCATTTTCAATTCATGACCAGCTTCTGCGATGTTGTGCCACCCTGCAGATGTTTTTATAGCTCCCCTCTCACCAGCTCTGCAACAACAACCTCTGGTGAAGTCAATGCGTTTAGGTGATAAGATGATAACAATGATTATTCTGCGTAGTGATACAAAGTGGAAACAGAGAGGATGTCTTGACTGCTGGGTCAAGTCTTCAATCCTCATGCGTGTCATCTAAAGTCAATACATTCTAGTAGCACACGAGGAAATAATGCAATCAATCTTATTACAAGGTTGACATTTAAACTCTCCTAGATTTTTGCAGCATCCTTTGGTATTTTCATTTATTGTGGTATATATATATTCTGGTATGGCTCATTTAATCATGTATGTCTATTCTAAAACTGATACAAGCTTGATTGTCTTTGAATTTTTCATAATTAAAATAAATTGCATTTCCCACTGTACCTTGAAATGTGATTGATCGGTTTATATGTCATCCACTCTCCAGTGACATTTCCAGAAGTGAAATATCTAACCATCAATGAGATTGAATGTTATAATTCAGCTCAACATCCTCTCCATAGTGCACCAAACAAATACAAGCTGATATCTGGCTTACAAATTGGCGTTTTCCCCCATTATCCCTACACCATTCCTTTACTTAAACAGATTATTTATTATATGTCTTGCCAATATTCGATTCTAAATACAAAAACGGTTCAAACTCATGAATCAAATGGTTTCTTTTTTTAATCTTCTAAATTATTTATTCAGTACAGTGTCTGCGCCAATTCTGTATCCAGTAGGATTTCTTTAATGTCTTACTTTTTTTTATAACTATAAGGAAGTGACTTTTTTTTGTGGAAAGCACATGATCCTCTGGTGTCAAATATTCCAGTCATTACAACTCAGCAGTTTGTGAGTGTATCCTTCAGTAGATAAAAGGTACACTTCATCAAGGCAGTATAATGAAGTGTATATATATGTATACAAAGTATATAAAGGGATATTTACTGTACGTTATAGTTATTTACTTACTCACCAGTTCGAAAACCGCCGCCGCTTCTCTGCAAAGCCATTGTGTCCTTGGGCAAGACACTTCTACTGAATTTGCTCCTGTGGGTATTGTCCACAGTACATGACCGTTACATGTATGATATGTGTGTAATGTGTATTTGTAAAGCGCTTTGAGCATCTGGAAAAGCGCTATAATAAATGTAAGGAATTATTATTATTATTATTACTACCTATTACACTTACGTTTTTATTCAAAAACGTATTTCTTTTCAATGACTTACAAGTAATAATGGCTATATTTTAGGGTTGAAATAAAAAAGAAATGTAAGAAAATATTATTTATCCTTCCTTTATTTCCTTACCACGTCTGGGTTTTGGTTTAAATAAAGATGTTGTGACTGTGACAGGGAAATAGAGGTTTATTTACATTATGGGCATTATCACACTATCAATGATGTGTGTGTGTTTGTTTGACAGAGATCATTGATTGTGGCTGTGTGCATGTGCGTCACACACTCAAGTTGTTCTGTCTCCGTCCCAGAGGGCATTGTTTGTCTCCAGTCAGAGACACCATGCACTCATTCTGCATTCAGACGCTGGCTGGACATGATTACTAACCTGGAAACAATGATTAGAAGGTAATAGCTGGACATCAATTCAGTCAGGCTTTGAGAACAAAACAACACACACAGATTCAGAAAAAAACACATGCTTTAATGTCAAGTCTGCCTTCGTCTGCGTACTCAAGGCAATCATGAATTGTATAGAGATGAGTTGAATAGGTATTATGATAAATAGAGCCACACTGTCATGGTGTGACTGGCCTTGTTACTGTAACCTAGCAACAGAGACAGCGGCAACCGTTCATTATTTCTCCTGTCCAGCGAAGCCCAACCTCCTTCTGCTTCCTCCAGATGCTGATGTTTTCGTCTCTGCTCCGCTTCACACATATTTTGTGTCTTAAACCTCTACCTGTCTTCTCCATCACTTCCACCTGACACTCTCCGATGATCTCTTCCCTTTCACTCAGACGGTCACAATGAAGAGTCAGCAGCCAAAAGAGGGGAGAGTTTTGACGAAGAGGTAAGGTGTTATCTTCCACTTCTTTGGACTTTTATTGTTCCGATCATTAATAATAATAATAATAATTCTTTCTATTTAGAGACGCATTTCAAAGCACCTTACAATTTATAAAATATTCTAAAGAAACCGTAACAGGGAACATGTAGGGAAACAGGGGGGATCATTGCACTGTTAAAAGCTGAATTATATATTTTGTGAGAGAAATATTTCAGTTTTACAGTTATTTGTCTGGCAGTGTCTGGTCAAGGACATTTTTTTGAAACACTCCAATAAATAACAGAAGAGATTGTGTCTTCGTTATCATCAACATGTTGTTATCTTATCCTTTCTGAACAGATTTGCACTTCTCTAAGGGGACCAACGACACAGACACAAGCAGAATCCACTCTCCTCTAACTTTGGAAAATAATCTAGACTGAGTGCAGTTACAGCGGGAATATTTAATCCTGAATAATTAATTACATGACCTCAGATCTGTGCTAATCAGGGTTGCGATGCATACTCCAGCCTCCATGGTGATGGGGATTGTCTTCGCCCCTTTGGGATTGGTCCTGGTGTTCACTGCGGCCATCACCCCTCAGTGGAGAGAGGGACAGGCTCGTCTGGGCATGACAGGAGTCAAAGGTCAAGGGGTGGGGGTCAGGTCTGGGGCAGTGGAAGCTCTGCTGCTGCTGCGCTCTGATGGCCTCTGGGAGAGCTGCGTGCAGGTGGAGCACTCGGAGCTGAAGCAGTGCTGGCCTGTGTCGGGTCCGTACCAGAGGGACCCGAGGGTTCGCCTGGCACAAGGTTTGATCCTGAGCTCGTTGTTCCTGTGCGGCACCGGCATCGTCCTGGCGTGTATCGGGGTCCGGTGCTGGACAGATATTCCCATGAGAGGTGTAGCAGCTACAGGGGGTCTCCTGGTGGTGACGGCCGGGCTGCTGAGCCTCACTGCGCTCGGGGTGTACACCCACAATCTGGCAAGACTGGGGATCAACTACCCCAGGTTCCCCCACCTCATCCTGCGTCCGGCGGGCTCGCTCTACTTTGGGTGGTTGGGGTCTTGTTTACAGGTGGTGGGAGGCATTGCTCTGATGTTCAGCTTCAAACGAGCAAGATATCCCACCTGCCCAGCCTGCCCGGAGCTGACAGTCTGTCCTGCATGCCGATCATGTCCCGAGATCACCAAGCATGACACGGAGGTATACGAAGTCAGTTGTTAGAGTATGAACCTCACACATAAATGACCTAAAGATCATATGGGTGAAAATGACCAAATCTGGACAGGTGTGAACTTAATAAAGTCAATTCAAACTCATCAGCTGATACATCTGCCAACTAACAAAATGAGTCAATTCAAAATGACTGTGGAAATGACTGCTCCATAATGGACTTGAATGTCAGATATGAGCAAGACGGATGTAATTGCCTCGTGATGTAGACAGAAACACAATCACACATAATGTTACAAAAAACAAAAAAGCTCAAGTTTTCTGCTGCCTTTCACTGTAGTGAAAACATGACTGAGTTATCTTTGTGCCGTATTTTACATTGTAGCCACGCTTTTGTACTGTTAGCAAGATGTTTTTACATGTAAATGTGACATATTTGTGATAAATGAAATGCTGCTTAGATAATGTTAAGGCTTTGAATAAAGACAATTGATTAAACGTGTTTTAGACATTGTAAACTTTGAACGCTTGTTTTATCTGTACTTTGTAGTAAGTCACATTGATGAAAATCCCCTGTTTTTCTGACAAATGTAGTTAATTGGACTGTAGAGAACAATCTTCAAAAATACATATTTTAGAAGTCAGGTAGACTTTAAGAACATCACAAATAATATGTAGATTTATCAGCCTTCCAGAGTAAATCTTTGTAAAATACATCCACAAAGGACCCTTCTAGGGAATGTGATATTACTGTCTTGATAACACAAACATTGAGGAGTCCAAACAGTGTTTGAGGAGAAGGAGGATGTACACCAGGGTGTTGTTTGTTGTTTGTATTGGTGTTAACTTGTCACAGTGTGTTCATACGTGGTGTATTCCACATTGAATAAAACATTAAAAACCTAAATATTACTGTGTGCTGCCTCCCACTTTTTTTACTTGCCATCAAGAGTAAAAGCAGATTAAGGGAAATACATTTAAAAAAACAAAACATCCCCACACAAAGCTAACAGGTAAAAGGTCACCTCATGCACAGCGGATAAGGTGACTTCAGTGAATCATCAGAAAGAGCCCCATTATGTGAACACATCACGAGCTGATGGGCACTTATGCCCCGGCCACACGAGGACGAAAACGGTCGTTTGCGTTACTGTTTAGTGTCATATAAACCGTTCGGCCACACGAGGACGACCGAATACGGCACTAAACGACTGCGTAAACGATAACGGGTCCCAAGGTGGATAGAACGGCATACGCAACGCTCTGGGGGGTCCAACGGCTCCGTGTGTACGCCCTATACGATCATTTTCTGATAATGATGAGGCAATAGCCCCGCCTCTCCCCACCTCTGCTGCTCACCCCCGCGTCAAAGTAAACTGCACACTGAATTCAGATTATTTATCTTTCTCTCGATATGGACCTATACACGAGTGAAGTCTAATCTGACAGGACGGAGACACGCAGCTCTGCTCACCTGCAGCTCCTCCCGCTGTGATGCGGTGGTGAACGGAGTAAAACACACACTTCAAGTCCGATCATCACCCTTAGCTATTTTAATTACCTCTCAAACTACCTAAACTAGATATAAATATGTTTATTTTTACTGTCGGCCGGGTCACTCATTACTGGATCAGCTGCTGCATGAAACAGACACTGGCGCTGTCCGAAGAGAGGGAGGGAAAAGAGAGGCTCCGTGTAGGCTATTTTATTATTATAATATATAGATTCGTTATTCATTTGTTTTAAAGCTCAATAAATAACAAAGAAGACCTTTGACTGGCACTTTTATAATTTTGTCGGAAGATTTAAACTTTAATACACGTTGACTGGTGAAAAACTCTGCCTGGTTCCCTCGGCCCCCACCGCGGAGAATAAACAGAAGGGCAACCATGACAACCATGCTTCTTCGCTGCTTTTGTGGAGAAAGTTACAGCGCCACGTACAGGCTCCTGCATATGTACTGCAGCTTCTCCAGCGGTTGGAGCTAAACGGAGCTGTCTCGTGTGGACAGACACTATCCGGATGACTATTGCGTGTGGACGGAAGCTTTTTTGCGATTGCCTTTGCGTTAATCCTATGCGTTTAGCCGTTTTCGTCCTCGTGTGGCCGGGGCATAAATCAACACCATTTAGCAAGTGAGTAACAATGAGCAATCTAATGCAGACCAGACGTTCAACATGCATGTTGCACAATTATAAGGCAATTATGTTCACTAGTTGAGAAAACAAAGGACACTTAATGTAGGCAGGGACTGGAGTCATGCACTGAAAAGAAAAGGGATTAAACCATACAGTAAGAAAGAACATTCCACTCATTCAGTAAAACAAACTTTTTTCATTTAAGTTCTGTGTTTTTTTGCATAATTTGTGTTTGAATATCCTAAAAACACATTCCAATAAGAAATAATTCAGACCCCTTTACTTTTACATTATATTAAGTTGCAACTTCTTGAGAAAATTGTTAAAATAATGGAACAATCTCCAATAAACCCTATTGGTGAATCATATGTATTAAAGACACTTTTATACTTTTTTATCACAGGGGCTTCCAGATTCTCTTGATCATCACGTCTTCTTGAGTGAAGTCCACCTGTGGATAATTTAACTGATTGGACATGATTTAGAAAAGCACACACCCACCTGTATGTAGGGATCATGTCCAGACCATAGACTGGTCCAGACACAGATCTGGGGAAGGCTGGAAAAAAGACGAGCTGCATTAAAGGTTCCCAAGTTCACAGTGGTCTCCATAGTTTGGAGAAACCATACTCCTCCAGTACAGAGATAAAGATCTAAATGTCTAAAAAGTAACATTTCAATGTTTTTCTGGGAAAAACTTGCTGCAAACAAAATGAAAAATCCCTTTATCACTTTGTCATGAAGCATTGAGTGTAGATTGAAGAGGAACAAGCAGTATTTTAATAATGTTAGCAATAGGCTGCAACAAGTGTGAAGAATCTCTGAATAATTGTTGAATGCACAGTAAACAAATGTTCATGGACATACACATAAATGCACTTTATAATGTTCTCTGTCTTGCACTTAATCACATACATAGGGAACCACACACATGCTTTATCAAGGTGTGTCAGTCATTTACCATTCAGTTATCCTGATAACCACAACACAAACTTCGCAACAGATTTCAGTGGTCATCATTGCTCCCTTTTTATTAGGTTGATCGATGCTACAGTGAATAGGCCTCTCAGCGATTGAGGAGTCTTTACTTGTTTTGCTGCATTTGTGGCAGCCCTTGGCAATAAAGACACAGATCCAGAGCTGTCAAGCTGCTCTAGTATATGGTTCATACTGTGTGTCTTTACACATATGTGGTGAAGTGCACTTTGTTCTCATATGGGAAAGAAGGTTGATCAAATGACAGAGACAAAAATATCATCTTAAGCAACAAGTGGCTACAGCAAGGGTATTTCTGAAGCAAATGTTCTGTGCAAAATGTTTAAAATGGATACCTTTTATTAAGGTACTGTCAATAAACAAATACATACAGTATTTATAGTAAAACTGTATTTACATATCACATTACAAGAGTCATGACTTATATTACAAATTCTCATTGAATTTTAAGAAAGTTCTACTTTCTATCACTAGGAGAACGAGACGGCTGTAGAATCGCATAAATACATACTGATTGACACTTGGCAAATTGTTCATTTTCTCTGTTGTAAACTTGACATATTTGTTTGTTGTGAGCAAGTCCAAATCTGCACTGATGCATTTCACTGACGTGCTTGATTAAAGTGCTGATTTATTGGCAATTTTGACCAATTCCTAACGTCAGCATAAGACACAGTCAAATCTCTCTGAACTGTTGCATGAAAAACCTCGTCCATTTGTCTGATTCTAGTAAACATAGCAACTTTACAGTGATGTGACTGTTCAAGCGTGGGGTTAAATGTAGAAGTAGTTCTCGGCGGCTTCTCCGCTCTCCACCATTTCACTCAGCTTTTCGTTTATTGAATCCTGCAGCGATCCCAGAGAGAGTTCTAACACTGAACTGGGGCTGGGAGAACCCAGTGGGATCTCCAGGAGAACATCAGACGTTTCGGCGTCTACGAGCTGCTCCCCGTCGCTGAGGCTCAGTCTGTACGCGCCCTCTGTCTCCGAGGAGGCTGTTTCCTTATCGACAGTTTCCAAGGCAACGTCCTCAATGGGCGTGTCCTGCTCTGTTGTGCCCTCAGCTCCTTCGCTGGACTTGTGTGCGGCCAGTCTCTCGATTTCTTTCACCAGTTCCTCGTTGTTCTCCTTCCACTGACGATACATTGAAGCTGACATATCTGACTCCTCTAACAGCTTGTTGATGTGCAGCAGCTCCACCTCTTTGGCCTGTAGAGGGAAAGAGGTTTGAGTGACCATGCACATATAAACACAAAGATCCAGATTCTCACTACCTGAGCACAACAGACCTCCTGTACAAGAATGTCATTGATAGGAGACAGAAAAGGAAAGTTAATATAGGTTTACAGCAAATCCTACTAAAAGATACAGATTTCCCCACCCAATCCTCATGGTAAGTTAGGTTGGAGTGCAAGAGTTTATTAGATTGTTTTCTTGTGAATTAATGATTGTACAATGTCAGAGTAATGTTATATAATATTTTGTAAAAATAACACAGTTAAAGGAGACACTTTGCATTTTTGGTACTTTTAATTTTCCTACTCCATCAAGATGTTGATGGATACTTACATACTTTAAACAAAGTTACAAAAATATACTAAAAAGTTTGATTCCAGGACTTTTACTTGAACTGAAGTGTTTATGCAGTTTGATTTAAAAAAAAAAAAAAAAATGTTGTTCAACCACTGGGAAAAAAATGTGAGTAAATAAAACACTTCAAGCTGAAAAAATGTTTTCGGATCACTCTTATTTCCTTATCCTCCAGTCACACAGTTATTTCTAATGGGGAAATGCTAAATTAGCTGTATCTGTATTGTATTATTGTCAATACATTTCAATATATATATATTATGTTTGAAGTGTAAGTGGAGACACTCGCCGATGGCTTTTGAGCTCACCTTAAGAGTGCTCTGAAGTGCTCTGAGCGTGTGCGCCTTCTCATTGATGATGGGGTTCTTGTTGCGTCGAATAAACGATTTCCTGAAGTGGTCGTGTGTGAATGGCTGCTCTTTGCCAATCAGAGAGACCCCTCCTTCCTTTATGTTGTTTAGCATCATGCCCATCTCATCCACTGGTCCTCCTTCTCACAGGGACGAACACAGAGAAAGGGAATGAGAATGGAAGGAGAGATATGAAAATGTTAATTAAATCCAAAATATCGCACTGGGGTTTGGTGTTGTTGACGGTTGATTCGGCACAAACATCCTCAGGGTAAAGTCAAGAAAACAAGTCATGATGAAAATGAGTTTTCCACTTACATTATTAAAACATCTATCAGAGTGACGCAGCCTTCACTTATTCAAGAGATCATTCAATGAGAGAGAAAGAAAGAGCTGAGAAGTCAAACCTGTTCCTTTGCTGCCCCCTGTCACAGCACTGACTAATGGCACCTTGTTCGTCTTCCCCTTGGGGCGAGGCAGAGTGTGGGACTGCACTTTCTGAGACACACAATAAGACATCAAATAATCTGAATGCTTCTTCAAATAGTGTGTGTTGTGTGTTTATGCATGTGTTGACTTCAACTGTACCGACCTTGTTTCTTCTACGAGGCGACGGTGATGTCTCGCTTTCTGATTCAGTCTCACTGTAACATTCTGTTCACAAATAAACACAGTTGTTGCATTACTTAAACAACCACAACACTTTATATCATAGTGTATTAGAGCATAAGGTTTTCGGATAAATGTGTCAACAAAAGTGAAAGAATGTCATCACAGTCAACCTTTCTGATCATTTTTAATTGGCTAGTTACACTCAAATAAAATAATAAAAC